TTTAAGCAATACAGTGAAAGAATTAAAGAATTGGAAACTTTCATTTAAGTTCAAATATGCAAACTACTTAGTAACTGTTGTCAATGTCTTGCAAACACTGCCCCCTGCTGGTTTCCTCTTGAGTTTGCTGTGTTGCTTTTCGCCCAGTCTGGAAATGCTAAACAATGTTTTGAAGGGGAGGGGTTGTCTGTTTTTGGTGTATGTGTGTAGCGTGTGTGTGTTCATGTGCGCATGTGCGCTCCTGAGTGAACACGGGGAGGTCAGAAGAAGACTGACTGAAGGCGTCTTCTATCACTCTTCCATCCTTTGCCCTTGAGATGGGGTCTCTCACTGAATCAGTCTCTACTAGACTGGCTGCTAGGAGCTCCAGGATCTGCCAGTCTCTGCCCCCAGTGCTGGGATTACAGGCACAAGCAGCCACACTAGATTTTTATTTGAGTGCTGGGGATTCGAACTCAGGTTCCCATGCTTGCACAGCAAGTACTCTTACCCACTGAGAGCTAATGCTCATCTCCCCAGCCCCAACAAGTGTTTTCTTTATGACTTGCTAATTTAGAGAGCCCTTCTCTCTCATGCTTTGTTTAAAAACATGTTACTATGCCTACACAGGAATCCAAACATGAATGCCTATGTCAGTTTTGTTCACAATGTCCAAATGCAGAGGCCACAGAGGCGCCTTTTAGTAGGTGGATGGATGACTAGATAAAGTGACACATCCAGGCCATAGACATTAAAAAGAGATGAGTTAGCCAGACACACGAAACTTACATGCATGCTGCTAAGCAAAAGAAGCTAATCAGGAAGGGCTCTGTGCTGCCCAACCACAACACAGTGGTAATCTGGAAAAGGCAACCGTGAAGACTTCAAAGACCACCTGTTGTCAGGGACTTGGGGAAAACAGAGAGAGAAATGAACAGTGGCGCATAAAGGAGTTGTTTTAGTCGTTATTCTCTAGTCACAAAATTTATGGAATGAATACATATATTCATTGATTGGAATGATAAATTACAGGCTGCAGTTCAACAATGACTAGCTGTGAATGGAAAGTCCAAGAATCCAGTAATTTCTCAGTCCCGTGAAACTGGGTGTCTCAGCTGGTCTTCTGTAGATGCTGGAATCCCCAAGAAGTAGGCTCCAATTCAGTGAAGGGACGGATGTGGGATGTGTTGACAAGGCGAGGGCAAGCAGTTGAGGAAGAAGGAAACTTCTTTCTTCCACTGTCCTTATCTAGGCTTCCAGCAGAAGGTGTGGCCCAGATTAAAGGTTTGTCTTCCTGCCTCAAGATCTGGATTAAATGTCTGTGTCATCCACCTCAAGATCCGGATCAAAACCCTCAAGATCCGGATCAAAACCATGCTGTCTTCTGTTGTTGTTTGGTTTTGCTAACTACTCTTTTGGGGGACCATCACCCAGCTCCCAAATAAGTCACACACAGAGGCTTATACTTAATTATAAATGCCTGACCTTAGCTTGGCTTGTTTCTTGTCAGCTTTACTTAACTTATCCTGTCTGTCTTTTGCCTCTGGGCTTTTACCTTTCTTTTTTGTATACTTTTCTTTCTTACTCTTTTGCTGGTTAAGTAGCTGGGTGGCTGGCCCCTCGGTCCTTCCCCTTTTCTGGCTTCTTCTTCCTTGATCTCTCCTCTCCCAGATTTCTCCTTCCATATATTCTCCCTGCCTGCCAGCTCTGCCTATCCTTTCTCCTGCTTTGCTATTGGCCATTCAGTTCTTTATTAGACCACAGGTGTTTTAAACAGGCACAGTAACACAGCTTCACAGAGTTAAACAAATATAACATAAACAAAAGTAACACACCTTAAAAAATATTCCACTACAGTCTTCCTGCCTCCAGATCCAGATCGCAGGTGTGCCCTCCATTTCTGTAGTGTAGTTCATTACTGATATAGTCAAGTTGATAACCAAGAAGAGCCATCACAGGAATCTTATGGTAAGAAGTCTGACTTGTCAGTTCCTGTTACCATCCACTTGTCAGGACCTACAGAATGTCAAATACCAAGAGTGACCCCTGGTGTAAAGCTACAGACTTTAGTTAATAAAATACATGAATATAATTTTATTGACAGCAACAATGCTACCCTAATGCACCATGTAACTGACAGGAGAGACTGGAGGCCGGGGTGAGGAGGGTGTGGCCCCTTTGTACTTTCCACACAGATTTCCCGTAAATTTAAATCGAGGCTGGAGAGACAGCCCTGCAGTTAAGAACACTGGCCGCTCTGTCAGAAAATCGGGGTCCAATTCCCAGCATCCACATGGCATCTCACAACCATCTATAAGTCTAGTCCCAACACCTTCTTCTGGCCTCTGTGGGCACTGCGGTGCACAGACACTCATGCAGACGAAATCATCCAGACACATGAAAAACAGAATACAGGTTTAAAAGCGACTGTCTTTAGAAACTGATTTTTAGTAAGGCCAGTTAATTAAATGCAGAAGAGGATGAAAAGATATGAGTTAGGGCAAGAGGCGGGGGTGGTGAGATAGAAAGTGGAGTTGAGGAGGGAAGCGAATGGGAGGGAAGAGGGAGATAAAGGGTGGGGAGTAG